TTGGTTTTCCTTTCAGGACTCTTTGATATTTGGACTTGGAGCAACTTTCACATTTACTATATTTCTTCTGTTGCAGATAGCTATTCTGGCATCTACTATCCGAAATATGGAGGGGAAGAAAGCAGTCTCAACTCTTATGCATCAGCTCATGGATGATGGAGCTGCCCTTCACTTCACTTTATTTGCAAGTCCACAAGACACAAGGAGAAGCAGGTCCTTAAAGACCTGGGCATCTTTGACCTCATATCAAGTATGTTTATTGAAAATTTGTGTCATAAGTGCAATTGGATTTCTCAGTTCTTAGATGTTAGTTCTATATTAACCATTCAGCATATAAAAGATTATCTTATTCTGGGAAACTCTTTCAAATGAAGTAATGTTTTTATATTGCAGAAGCCATTGATTGCAGTGGAAAAGCTGCTTCCATGTCTCAACAGGAGAGAACCATCTTTGTTGGTGACTAGTTTCATCAGGCTAAGCAGCGCCTTCGTCAGTAGGAACGTGCACAAATGTGATTCTTTGTGATTCACTTGTTCAAAATTGATGGCACAATACAAAATTATGAAGCCTTGGTTATACTTTTGTGTCTGTCACATCTGTCAGAACTATACGGCCTGGTAATCTATATTGAATACAGCTTCTTTTATGAAACATTCCACCTTGAGAAAATGAGGATAATGGGAGCCAATCAAATCTTTTAACACAGGCCTTCTCAGTTAGTTCAGAGGCCCATTCATGCTGATTTGGTTATTTCTTTTTTATGGAAGCCTTATTTGCATGTCACTGCATGTCATAAATTCACCGGTGTGTGGACATGAAAATCAGCTTCGATCCTCTTGGTCAAGGTTGAAGGGTGTAGAGATACAAATTTAACAGGTTATTGATACAATGACCTTGTAAAAATCAACAGGAATTTCTTCTTAAATTCCCTCAATATACAGGTATACTTTTATGGAGAGATACACAACTGATGAGTTATTGATGCAGTAACTTCTCAGTATGAATGTACGTTTCATGTCACATCCAATTGCTATTGTAGATTTGTCCACATCAAGTTGATATGAATTAAAAATAGTTGTGCTGCCTGGGCTTCCCCTGGTACTGAAGGAAATTCTAAGTCTTAAGAAGTTTAAAACCAAACTAAAGAATCGCTTTCTTTTTAATCAGATTTAACACATCTTCAGATAAAAACAATTTTAATGAATAAAAAAGCTTGATGAGGGGTAAATTTTATAATAGTAAACCAACCCGGGAAGGCCAGGACTATCCACTCACTTTTTGACAAACCCTCAAATTGAAGCAGCACTATTACCATTTTCCCTTTTCCATTGATATTTTTTTTATACTCTCTCCTCCAAAATTCACCCACTGTCTGCAAGTATTATTTGTTCTTAGACTGCTTGTTTTTTTGTGTATGCATGCACATCAGGATCGTCTATTTTTCCCACACCAAAGTTCTGAGTGTGCATTTTCCTGTATGTGTTCCCTAAAAAGTGTAGCTGCAATCTCTCCCTCAAAGTTCTACCTTTTCCTTTTCACAGGAATTTAGTAAAACTCAGTACAATAGACCCCCTACTTACGCAAATTTGACTTTCTAGTTTCTCGTGTTCACAAATTTGGCATACAAGAGGAATGCAACCCTCATGTAGGTCTGTAGTCTACAGAAATAAGTGGAATTTTTTCATATACTCTACAGATCAAAATCAGATACTACATATCTAATATATGTACTACCTCAAGATTTCTCTATTTTATTGATTGCCAGTGTCCTAAAGGAGTATATGAGCATGAATATGGGAAAAAGTATTTGGGCACTTATACCC